GGAGAGGGGATTCAGCCCCACAGCCTCCTCCTTGGTGCTGAATGCTGGAGTCACAGGAACATTGGCTGAGTGCCTTGTGTTTGACGCATGCAGCATGGCCGCTCTCTCAGTCAGCATCCCAAGGATGGGAATGGAGGCTGCCTAGTGCACCCGAGCACAGAGGTGGAGGAAGGACAAATGAGAGGTGGATGAGGACACAGAAGAGAAAGCCTCAGAAAAGCAGACTTTGTCTTTTCTGCTCCTTATGTCATGACTTGATCGTTGCAGGGGAAGTCATCCTGGATGCTGACACGGCTCACCCCAGATTGGAAATCTCTGACGATGGGAAGAGTGTGATAGATACTGGCGCCTTCAGAAATGTTCCCAACAAGAAGAAGAGATTTGATTCCCACACTTTTGTGTTGGCAAAGGATGGATACACATGTGGAAGACACTACTGGGAAGTGGATGTTGGCACAAGAAGAAACTGGAACTTGGGTATTGCCCGGGAATCTGTGACTCGCAAAGGCACATTGACTCTGTCCCCTAAGAATGGCTACTGGGTCATAGGGCATGCACATGGGGGAGACTATTGGGCCTACACAGAGCCTTGGACGCATTTGAGTGTGAGTGGGAAGCTGCAAAAGATTGGGATCTTCCTGGACATCCCAGCCAAGAAGCTGTCGTTTTACAATGTCCATAAGAAAGCAGCTCTGTACACTTTTACCATTGCTGATGGCAGCAGCCAGGAAGAGAAATTCATTCCCTTCTTCTCAACAGGCCCTTCTGCTACAAAGCCTGACGCTGAGCCTCTCAAAATAGTGCAGGGGTTTGATGATGATGAATAGTTCCCTCGACATTGTGAAGGCCTGAAATGTGCAGGCAGGGATCAGATCGAGATGTTACCAGGCCGCTGCCTAGTTTGTGTCTCCTGAACAAAGCTCAGTTAGGAGGGGATATAGATGTATCTTAGTGGCCAAGTCAAGTCTGAGTTTTTCTGAACTTTGCATCAGCATGAGAAAAATTTTGAGAGTAGATTCAGGTGCTCAAGAAAAACAAATGTTCTTTCATGGGAACATGGAAGAAACACTTCCTCTCAAAGGAGATTTTTCATGAAAACTTACTCTCCCTTTCCTGATGTTCTCTGGTTTGCGATTGTGTTCAAGAGCGGGAGTAATAGAGCAGCTTGGCTGGTACGTGGCGGCCAGCAAAGGTCTACCCACTGTTATAAGTTAGTCTCACAAAGTGAGGCGAGGAGACAAAGCCAATTAAATTTGAAGGATTTATTAGCAAGCGGCAGCAAGCAAAACAGCGCTGGGCGGCCCGGGAGTCTCACTCCGCCGACGGCGCGCACCTAGGTTACAAAAGTCTTTGGTTTTATACCCTTCTGCTTCCGGTATAAGCGTTTCTCTTAGTGGTGTACTCTGCGTCTGTGCGGTTTGTTGCTAGGGGGTCGTCCTCTTTCTTCTTTTGCTTTTTGGTGGTCGCAGGGATGAAGGCTCCATGTCTTCCTGAGCCTCCCAAGTCTTATCACAATTTATGATGTTAGCAGGACTTGACTGAGCCTCCCCCTTTCCTTTCCTCCCAAGCCTTTTCACAATTTATGATGTTAGCATAACTCGACCTTGCAGCCTGGCCTTGTTTGCTTAGCAGATGTTGGCTATCTTGCCCCATCCTGCCAAGCAGCTGCCTTTCATGAAACACTGTAACAATGAGAGTTTTTAGGTTTGGTGAACAAACAATACTGAGCTTGTCACAATTTCCCCCCTTTTACTTTTTACCATTTTGTTCATCAAACCGTTTAAGCTCTTGTCGACTTAAAATAAAGGTCTCTTCTGTTTCTGGTATCTCTATGGGTTTGTTCTCGGCTTTTGTCACAAGCATTAAATGGGCTGCTTCTAATCTGCTTTTTACGATTGCAACTATTTTGTTGAATATACAGGGCCCGAAAGTCAAAACGAGAATTATTAACACTAGCAGACCAGCGAGTGTTGATACTAGAGTAGTTAGCCAGGGAGAGTGATTAAACCACGATTCATACCAGCTTTGCTGTGCTTCCCATTCTCTTTTTCTTTTTTCTAATCCTTCTCGAAGTTTGGCCATTGTGTCTCTTACTATCCCAGTGTGATCTGCATATACACAACATTCTTCTTTAAGTGCTGCACACATTCCTCCTTGCTGTAAAAACATTAAATCTAATCCTCTCCGTTTTTGTCTTCATAAAAGGGCGGTTTTACCCCATAACACAACCAACAATGCTCAGTAAGATTCGGGTTAGTTTTGTTCAACACCAGGTAACTGGCTTGCATCAATTTCCAAAGGGAAATAGCTCCAGCGTTTTCATTAGGGGTTTGGGTACTACTCATTACAGGAATTTTCGTTACATCACTTTCTGCTTTTTTGGTCAAACTATCAGTCAATGTCTGGTTGGGGCTTATTTTCTTAGCCAGATCATCAGTTAGGACTTGGTTGGGGCCTACTAGCAGTGGATCAGGTGAGGCCGGTTCTTTTTTAATGTGTATTAGCCCACCTCTATCTTGTCTTAGTTTCTTATAATACCGAACTCCCCAAGTTTTCCCTACTAGCCAGCAAGGGTCTTGAGGTCGGGTCACATTCAAATACCAATAGTTACAGCTCTACCTTGTGATAAAAAGGGACTTACTTCTATCTAGTGCACGTCCCACTTGCGGCCTGCATCCATAAGGGGCCTAGGATGCCTTCAAGAAGGGATCCTTTCCAGGCACCGTAATCCATGGGTAAGCAATTGTTTCACAACCCCAGTATGCGCAAAAATATTGTCCTGGTTGGTTACAATACGATTTCCCGGGGTTAGAGCTTGGGCATCTGAGGAGAGCGAGAAAAGTCTCTGATTTTCATAGTAGGGGGTGGAGAGGTGGAGGGTCAAGCAGGGAAGCAGGGAAGAGCCCCACATCCTCTTTCCAGCTGTGCATGAGAGATGTGCAGGATACATCTGTGCAGCCCCCAGGGAGGAGATCAGGGGAGGGGGAGGGTGACCCGGGTGAGTGGGCTGCTCTTGCTATGTTCTTTATCTGCTAAAAGTAGCATTCCTGGATGGTTCAGGGATGTCACAGGCATGTGACACCCTGGTAGTGTGTGTGCCCACCCCTGTGGGAAGGAGACATGGTGCCAGCTGTGTGTTTCTTTGTCTCTGTGGCTCTGCTTTTCCTCAGGGTGGATATTCTGAGCAGTTGGCGTCTGCCTGACTGCGGCAGTTTAGTCTCTGCCAGCGCTGCCTCCCTCACCCTGCAAGCCTTGAACTGGGATGGTGCAGGGGAACGCCTCTCTCTTATCTGTGCCCAAAAGGGACTATTGGGTAGGACTTTCTGCTGCTGACACTCACACGTGCAGCCCTTTCCTTTCTGCAATGGCGCTGTGAAGGAGTTTAAATTCAGATGCACTCAGCACTGTCCCCTTCATGCCCTGAGCCTATTTCTGTCGTTTCCTTGCTGACTCTGAGACGTAGGGCCAAGATTTTGAAAAGGCCTTCTAGGATGCTTGTGTTCTCTTTAGTGGGTCAATTCTGAGCTGGGCCACCATCTGCCTACCCCACTTAGATGTCCTGGATGCCCGGGACATCTTCAGGAGCTCCAGACACCTACCTTTAGGCTTTAGTCAACAGAAGCCTGTCCTTACTTCTGTACAGAGAGGAGTGATGTTGCAGTGAAAAACACCAGCTGAAACATGGCCAGGGATGGAAGGTTTTTTCATTGGAAAAAGTGAAAAATGACCACAAAACGCAAAAAGTATACCCCCCTGCCCTTGTCTTTCTAGTTCCTGCTCCATCTACACAGCTCATGTTCTCTCTTTTCTATACCATCATCGCAGTTTGACCCCAGGCAGCAACTTAGTACCACGCAGCCGCTCGCTCCCTCCCTCCAGTAAGATGGGGGAGAGAATCAGAAGAGTAAAAGTGAGAAAACTTGTCCGCTGAGATAAAAAGATTTTAATAGGTAAAGCAAAACAAGGAATTCATCCACTGTTTCCCATCAGTAGGCAGGTGTTCAGCGCTCTCCAGGAGAGCAGTGCTCAATTACGCATAACCAGTACTTGGGAAGACAAATGCCGTAACACTGAACATCCCGCCCTTCCTTCCCCTTCCCCCAGCTTTATACACTGAGCAGATGGCACATGGTATGGAATAGCCCTTTGGTCAGTTGGGGTCAGCTGTCCTGGCTGTGTCCCCTCCCAACTTCTTGTGTACCCCCCGCCTACTCGTTGGCAGGGCTGTGTGAAAAGCAGAAGAGGCCTTGGCGCTGTGTAAGCACTGCTCACCAATAACACAAACATCCCTGCGTTATCAGCACTGTTTGCAGCACAAACCCAAAACGTAGCCCCATATCAGCTACTATGAAGAAAATTAACTGTAGCCCAGCAAAAAACAGCAGAACCATCCACGCCTGTGTAAATGTTTCCCACACAATAACGCTGTGCTGAAAGTCATTACTGGGGGCACTCAGAGACCTGTACAGGTGGGAGTGGAGTGATTCAAGTGTCTTTCAGGCAGAGGAGTTCAAACAGGAATTCAGTATCTCTTGATTACCGCCTTTACAGAGATACAGAAATCTTCCCCCTTCATGCAGGCTGACTGGAAAACATAAGCAAAGGCTACCTCTTGAGGACTGAATATATGTCTTTGTGATTTTCTGAAATCATGGAGTCTGACAGGAGCTGCACGGGCTGCAGTCCTACAAGACCTTCGACAACACTGGTCCTTCCCACAGGACCAGCAAGCCCGGCAATGCCGTCAGACACTGTGGAATGAAGCAGAGCCCTGTCCTGACATTGGTAAAGCCCAGCAAAAGCCCTGGGTCACTCTGGAGAGAAGCAGAGCCCCTTGCAGGCCTCAGCAAATCCTGGCTCGTTCCCATCAGAGATACTGGAAGGCAGCAGGGCCTCTTCATGGATGTGGTGGGATGACCCTGGCTGGAAGCCCGGGGCCAACCAAAGCCGCTCTATCGGTCCCCCTCCTCAACTGGACAGGCAAGAGAAAATATACCAAAAGGCTCGTAAGTTGGGATAAGAACAAGGAGAGATCATTTTTTACCATCACAGTCAAAAAAGACTTGATTTGGGGAAATTAATGTAACTAAATTAATTCATCAGAGTAGGGTAATGAGAAAAAATATCTAAATCTTAAAACACCTTCGCCCCCACCCCTCCCCTCTTCCCTGGCTCAACTTCACTCCCAATTGCTCTACCTCCTCCCTCTGAGTGACACAGGTCAGTCCTCCACAAATTTCTCCAACCTCACTTCATCCCACAGCCTGCAGTTCTTCCCAAACTGCTCCAGCACGGGTCCCTTCCACAGGGTGCAGCCACTCAGGAACAGACTGTCCCAGTGTTGGTTGACCGTGGAGACACACGTTCTGTCAGCAAACCTGCTTCAGTGTGGGATCCTCTCTCTCCACAGGTCCACAGGGCCTGCCATGAGCCTAGTCCAGCACGGGCTTCCCACGGGGTCACAGAACATCCACCTGCTCTGGCATTGGGTCCTCCATGGGCTGCAGGGGGACAGACTGCCTCACCTCAGCCTTCACCACGTGCTGCAGAGGAATCTCTGCTTGGAGTCTGGAGCACCTCCTCCCCCTCCTTCTTCACTGACCTTGGTTTCTACATAGTTGTTTCTCTCACTCCTCTCTCTGGCTGCTGCCATGCATGTTTCCCCCCGCCCCCCCCCCTCCTTAAAGATGTTATCACAGAGGCACTGTCACTGTCACTGCTTGGTTTGGACTTGGCCTGCTGTGGGTCTGTCTTGGAGTCGGCTGGCATTGGCTCTAATAGACATGGGGGAAGCTTCTAGCACGTTATCCAGGGGATAAAGCACTGG